GCTCAGCCCCGCCGTGCCCGTGTCCTGTGTGTCCCCGGGGTGCCGAGAGGAGATGCTCGGTGACAGGGCAGCGCTTTGTCCCTGCTGCCCCCTCCTTCCCAAAGCCTCTCCCGGAGGGCAGCGGGGTCCCCCCGCCCCATCCGTGCTGCTTTTCCCCTCCAGCCCCTCGGCTCTGCTCTCCCCCGGTACAAAGGGAAAAGAGAGGAGCTCCCGCTCCTCCTCGTCGACTCCGTTCCCAGTACCCCCAGTGCTCCCAGTGCCGAGTGGGATGGGGTGGGAAGAGCTTTTTTAAGCGCCTTTCCCCGTCCCGACGCCTCCACCCGGTGCAGGGGCAGGGATGCTCCCGGGGACACGTTCCTCAGCCCCTGTGCCTGGGGGGGGATGAAGGCTCCGGTACATTGGGGTGACCGAACCCGAGGTTCATCACTACCCCCCCAAATCACGTCTCCTGACAGAGAGAGAAGCAGGAGGAGGACAAGGATGTGGGATGTGAAGCTCGGCCGTGAGCAGACTTCCCCTCTGTGGGACTGCTGCTGGGCAGGGGGACGAAGCTGAGCAGCCAAAATAGGGGTGGGGGGGGCAGTTTTGCTTCCCTCCCGAGTGCTGTCTCTGCCCAGGGCTCCCTGGTCTGTGGCTTGTGGCTCCTCTGCACAGGCCAACGCCAAAATGCCCCAGAGAAGTGCCTGCTTCTGCTGCCAGGCTGAGGTTGGGACCTGGGGAGGCAGCGGGGGGATTTTGGCAGGTGCTTTCCAAGGGGAGGGGGTTTATGAACTCTTGAAAGGGAACTCCTCCACCACGACACCCCATCCCTGCAGCTGCCAGCTGCCACCCTCTGCTCTTGCCAGTGCTGGTGGCAGGTCCGTCCCCTTTCCTTTAGCCCGCAGCTCCTTGCTGGGGGCTTGCTACATCGGGGTGGGGTGGCTCAGCCAGGCTGTGCCCATGCACCCACAGCCCCTGCTCAAACCAGAGGAGCCAGCAGGGATTTTTCTCCTCCCTCCAAGGATTAAAACCCGGCCAAATTAGGGCAGGTTTCCATGAGGTTGACCAAGGCGATCTCCCTGCCCAGTCCCAGGCCTGGGATGTTTCTCCCAGCAGGAGCAGTGCCTGGGCTTTGCCCCTTCCCAGCACAAGCCCAGCTCAGCCAGGGCTCAAAAGCTGGATCTTTGGCCAAGCTGAGTGGCCCCAAGAAACCCTCCGTCCTACCCACCACCCCTGAAGTTGCTGGAAGGATTTTCCCAAGGTCCAGCCCAGCTCAGCAGCCTGGCCCAGGGGTTTCCAGGCTGAATCCCAAACCTGGAGTAGCCTGATCCATGCTGGGAGCAACAGCAAAGTGAGAGACTCAGCTGGAAGGGGATCTGCTGCTGCTGGAAATCCTCCCGGATTTCATTAGCTCTGTATGGAGCTGTGTCCTTTCCCACCCTGTTTCCACGTGCTTGGAAGACATGTGAGCTCTCCAGCAGCCCAGCACCTCCAGGATGGGTCCCCCCACCATTTCCCAAGGGGCTGCTTCTCTCCATACAAGGGCAGGGGGGAGACCCCACCTGTAAAGCAGGATGGGGAGGTGTCCTTGCTCCTGGGATGCTCCACACATGTGAGTCCTGGGTGATGTCCCTGTAGGCTGCACGTCTGCAGCCACCCCAGCCAGAGTCATCAGGAGCTGAGTCAGGGCTGGCTGCAAACCCCCCACCTCCTCCCTCTGGCTCACGGGAGCAGTTTTAGGGGAAGAAATGCAAAAAACGTTCATTGGGAGAGCAGAGCTGGAGGCAGCCTGGATCAGCACCCTGCTGGCACTGGCCTTTGTGGACTGAAAGCTGTTTGTTTGCATCAGACCTGCAGGGGCTGAGTAGCTGTGGAGGTTTCTGTCCTTGCTTGCAGTTGTTGGGGAAGGGTTTGAGAGTGCCAAGGGGGACGCAGTGTTCCGGCTGCAGCATCGTTTCCATAGGAAACTTGTTCTGTCTCCTCTGAGCCTCCCTGTCAAAGCATCAGGGCTGGAAAACTTTCCTGGGTGTGCTCCCCTTAGCGTCATATCCAGTGGGAATCGAGGCCTTGAGATGGTTTATTTTTGGAGACAGGGGCTGGTGATGCTGGAGCGGGTGCTCCCAACCTCAGGCTGCTGCATGGTGGGTTTGGCAGGTGCCAGGGCAGTAATGGAGCTCCCGGGGGAAAACCCATCGTGCCCAGGCAGCACAGGGCACTGGAGCCTGGCCAGCCAGCATGCCTGGACTCTCCAGGGGACTGCCTCAGTTTCCCCAGGCTCGTTCTGTCCAGCTGGCAGGGTCAGAGAGCTGGCAGCTCTCTGGGGAAGAGCAGAAATCTGTCCCCGGGTCTCACAGCCCTGCCACAAATGCATCAGTCGTGTCCTCTGTCCCCAGGCTGGCACCGTGACGACGAGTGGGTGCCAGCTCCTGTGCTGGCCTGGCTGGGTGCTTTACCCTTGCTCGTGCCCGGGAAGGAAGAGGTTAAAATGCTGGGATTTCCTGGCTGCGGTGCTGGGGAGGGAAGGTGACCTGCAGAGTGCTTTGCATCCTCTGTAGCCCAGCTGACCTTGCAAAGCGTCTGTGTGTGTCCAGCAGCTGCTAGAGCGAGACTGAACTTGAAACCCAGGTAGAATTCAGCATTTCCAGCCCAAATTTAAGGCTAGGCTTAAACGCCTCCTTTCCTCCACTCCGTGGAGAGCAGCTTGGCTCGTACCTGGCATCTGTCCACCGCCAGCCAGCTGCCACCTTTGGGGTGCCAGCGTGTGCCCGGCAGTAATGCCGAGCAGCGAGAGGGCAAGGAGTGATGGTTCAAAGGTAGCAGCACTCGGTTCCGGAGCCTTCCCAGAAGTTCCTCCTCACCAGTGCTACGTCTCCACCCGCTGCTTTGCCAGGCTGGGAGAGGCTTTCCCAGCCCCAAGCCTTGGCGACAGCAGCTGGCAAGGACAAAGCTTTGTGCTTGGGGCTGGGGCTGGCAAGACAGGGTGGCATGGGACGGTGCCGGGGGGGACGGTGCCGGGAGCAGGAGGCAGATGCAAGGAGTGCTGCTCCTCTGGGAGACTGCCAGGAGTGGGGGGGTTTTGGGGGACCCACAGAGGAGTGGACTGCACCCCTCCTCCCGCAGGTTCCTTGGTGTGATGGGGCCGTTCATACGGTGGTTTAGCGTTTTTTGGTTTCCCCATCTGTGCTTCCTCTTTGCTAATCTGCTTCCTCTCCACTCCTGAGCAGCAGAGGCAGAGGTGGAGAGGGGGAAAGTGGCCCCACTCGGGTTGTAAAAACTAGGCTGGTGGGATGGGTTCAGTTCTGCTCCTCCCTGCCCCAGGGCTGGGTCTTGCTGGGCTTGGGGGCAGCTGCGGTTTGTCCCTGCAGCCAGGACCCCCCCATCCCTCCACCAGCAGGGCCAAGGGTGAAGAGGAAGGAAGCCTCGTTTGCTCCAAACCACCTCGCTCTGCTCTCTCTGCTGCAGGTACCGGAGGAAGCCGCCTGCTGCCACCACAGCCCTCCCCGTCCCCTCCCCTGACGTCACCACGGCAGGGTGACACGGTGGCTTCCTGGGTGCAGCACCCGCCGGAGCCTGCGCCAGCTGCTGCCACCAAGGGCCCCAATATCGGCAACCTCGTCACCCGACCCCCTCCTGGCTGGGGAACCTCACACCGAGCCACCAGGTCCGGTATCGGGCGGGTTTGAGGACGGGGGTGCAGGAGGGTCCCCTCCTGCATCTCCCTGCTGTCCCTCGCCAGGCTGCTGGGTGAGGCAGGATGAGTGTGCCAGGCGAGGAGCCGGGCAACCCGGCCCATGCCATCTTCGAGCGGTTCCTGCGTGCCGGGGAGTGCCGGGAGGTGCTGGGCTGCTTCGAGGAGCTGTGCCAGTGCCTGGCGCTGCAGGGCACCGGGCTGCAGCTCTACCACGGCCTCAAGGCTGCCCTCAACTACTGGAGTGCCAAGGCGCTGTGGAGCAAGCTGGATAAGAAAGCCGGGCACAAGGACTACGACCAGGGCACTGCCTGTGCCGGCACCAAGGTACAGGGGGCGTGGGGGAGTGGGGTTGGAAGCCCACCTTGCCCAGCGTCCTTGTGCCCGAGGTGAGAACATCCCTTGGCTGCCACCCCGGGAGGAAGCGGGATGTGCCAGGCGGGAGGTTGATGGGCTTAATGAGACAGGTTGTTAATTAGTGCTGCTCCCCCCCCCATGACGTGATGCCACCTCGGTGCCACACAGCCAGCAGTGGCCTTCCTCCTCGCCGAGGACACCCCATGGGGGGCTTCCAAGGGGCAGAGACCCCTGCTGAGCCCTCTCTTGGGGACAGGAACACCCCAGGGTAGGATGTCCCCAGGGGCTGGAGGACCCTGTTTTTCTTGACCTATCTCAGAGCTGATGGTTTTTGTCCCTGCTGCTGTTGCCCCGTTGTCTCCCCAGCTCTGGGCAGGAAATCAAACCAGAGTCCTACTTTTGGGGCTGTTGTTGGTGAAATCTCACCGTTCAGGCTGCAGCAGGCAGGAGGCGTGCTCTCCCTAGCTCACTGAGAGCTTTAACTGTGGCCATCGCCCCGTGCAGAGGCAAAGTTAGGGCAGCCAGCGGGGGGACCTCCCCAGAGCCCCCCGCTTTGCAGGGAGTGGCAGCGTTCGAAGCCTGGGGGAAAAGGAGAGCAGTGAGGAGGGTCAGATCCTGACCTGGGGAAGGAGGGAGATGCCTGTGGTGGTGCTGAGCTCCCCGGGGATTTACCCAACCCCCTGCTCCCGGGTGCCCGGCCCCTTCCTGCCACCCGTCCCCTCCGCAGTGCCTGGTGGTGGGGGCTGGTCCCTGCGGGCTGCGGGTGGCCATCGAGCTGGCACTGCTGGGTGCCCGCGTGGTGCTGCTGGAGAAGAGGGACTCCTTCTCCCGCAACAACGTCCTGCACCTCTGGCCCTTCACCATCCACGACCTGAGGGCACTGGGCGCCAAGAAGTTCTACGGGCGCTTCTGCACCGGCACGCTGGACCACATCAGTGAGTTTTGGGGAGGGGGTGGCCAAACTCCACATCCCCCAGGAGACCAGGCGCTGGGGGTTGCAGCCCTGAGTGCCCCCCTCTCCCCTCCCAGGTATCCGGCAGCTCCAGCTGATCCT